GGCCACGAAACGTGTGAGGGGTGTGCCGAAATGGGTGGTGGGGAAGCATGCGAACGCAGCCACTGGGGCCTTCGGTGGAGCTGCCTATGGGGCCACGAGACGTGTGAGGGGTGCGCCGAAATCGGTGGTGGGGAGGCATGCGAACGCAGGAGGGAGGAGGGCGAGGAGAAGGAGGAGGAGGAGAAGGAGGAGAAGGAGGAACGCGGGGACCGTCTCTTCAAAACGAGGACCCAACACCACAGGATGGTTGGGAAAAATACTCCAACTGTAGGACCCCGCATGAGAATCCTCTCGGCTAACCTGGAAATAACCCACGGACAAAGATAATACAAAATAGCCTGGCGAAGGACCAAACCATCTGCAAGCATCTGCAAGTGTGAATACCTCAAGTGTGAAGACAATCTTCGCCCGCGTTCCCTATGTGTCCGCGGCTTCTCGCCGGAGCCCGACATGCTCAGGGCCACGTTCCACGGTAGATCACGCTGTGTTCGGGCGCGCAGAACCGCCTGGGCATCCTGAAGCGCCCAGGCCCCTCGAGTACTGCAAAACAAACGTTTCGCTCGAGACATCCTGCGCTCGGGACGCGCCATCGCCAAGCGGGCAGGCAAAAAAACAAAGTTGCACTAGCTTCAGCAGAAAAAACTCAATGTATCCATACCTCACGTTTCATCATTGATTATGCGCAAAACGCTCCGCACCCTGTTTTCTAACTGGAAAAATCCTGTGCCTGCGGACCCCGTGATTTATTGAGGATCCGAAAGAGGGCGCGTATTATCCTCGAGCGGGCACATGCGGAACGCATTGCCCCCCCCAAAAAAAGATACTCCGACGGTAGGACCCCGCATGAGAATCCTCTCGGCCAACCTGGAAATAGCCCACGGACAAAAATAATACAAAATAGCCTGGCGAAGGGCCAAACCATCTGCAAGTGTGAATACCGCAATTGTGAATACAATCTTGCCCGCGCTCCCTGTGGCCGCGGCTTCTCGCCGGAGCCCAACATGCTCAGGGACGCGTTCGTGGCCGTCTCCGCGGGCGCCGACGACGACGAGGACGGCATCCCTCTGACCGAGGAGCAGATGCAGAAGAGGGCTCTGAGAGCCATGAGGGAGGCTGCCACTGGGGCCTTCGGTGAAGCTCCTATGGGGGCCACGATCCTCGTGCAAGGTGTGCCGAAATGGCCCTAGGCCGCCATGCGAACCTTGGTACTGGCGCCTTCGGTGGAGCTCTTATGGGGCCCCGATCCTCGTGACGGGTGTGCCGAAATAGCCCGAGGCCGCCATACAAACCCTGCCACTGGGGCCTTCGGTGGAGCTCCCTATGGGGTCACGATCCTCTTGAGGGATGTGCCGAAATGGCCCGAGGCCGGCATGCGAACCTTGCTATTTGCGTTTCGGTGGAGCTCCTATGAGGCCACGATCGTCGTGAGGGGTGTGCCGAAATGGCCCCGGGCCGCCGTGCGAACCTTGCCACTGGGGCATTCGGTCGAGTTCCCTATGGGGCCACGAAGCGTGTGAGGGGTGTGCTGAAATGGCCCGAGGCCGCCATGCGAACCCTGCCACTGGGGTATTCGGTAGAGTTCCCTGTGAGGCCACGATCCTCGTGAGGGGTGTACCGAAATGGCCCGAGGCCGCCATGCGAACCCTGCCACTGGCACCTTCGGTGGAGCTCTCTATGGCGCTACCGTGAGGGATGTGCCGAAATGGCCCGAGGCCGCCATGCGAACCCTGCCACTGGGGCCTTCGGTGGAGTTCCTATGGGGCCACGATCCTCGCGAGGGGTGTGCCGAAATGGTCCGAGGCCGCTATGCAAACCCTGCCACTGGGGCCTTCGGTGGAGCTCCCTCTGGGGCCACGAAAGGTGTGAGGGGTGTGCCGACATGGCCCGAGGCTGCCGTGCGAACCCTGCCATTGAGGCCTTCGGTGGAGCTCCCTATGGGGCCACGAAGCGTGTGAGGGGTGTGCCGACATGGCCCGAGGCTGCCGTGCGAACCCTGCCATTGAGGCCTTCGGTGGAGCTCCCTATGGGGCCACGAAACGTGTGAGGGGTGTGCCGAAATGGCCCGAGGCCGCCATGCGAACTCTGCCACTGGGGCCATCGGTGAGGCTCCTTATGGGGCCACGATCCTCGCGAGGGGTGTGCCGAAAGGGCCCGAGGCCGCTGTGCGAACCCTGCCACTGGGGCCTTCGGTGGAGCTCCCTGTGGGGCCACGAAACGTGTGAGAGGCGTGCCGAAACAAGGACTAAAACCGCATGCGGCCAAAACGCAAACGCAACCAGTGGGACCTTCGGTGGAGCTCCCTCTGGGGCCACGAAACGCGTGACGGGCGAAGGAGACGCGGGGCGCTGTCTCTTCAAAACGAGGACGCAACACCACAGGACGGCTGGGAACTAGCGGAACGTGACGTGTAGCAGAAGGAAACAACCACGACAAAAGATTTCCAGGTGAAAATACCGAGGCACCTGGATCGACGCAAAACCGAATTGGGGAAACTGCAGTTGGTTTCAAGGACGCGGGCCCCACCCCCGCGCACGCGGCCAGCGGCGCGCAAGGCAAGGGAGCGACGGAAACCCACGTCTGAAGCCGATGACCCGCCTCGGATTCGAACATGAAAGTGCGGGCCCCATAGGGAAGGGGCTCCCGCCTGAGACTTCCTCGCAATTCACTCACAGACGAGGCTCCCGCCTGATACTTCCGCCAGATTCATGCCTCAGGAGCCCAAAAGTGACGACAAGTGCAGGAGGCTTGCAAGAGGCCGATGACCCGCTCAGATTTCTCACGTGAGCTGCGGACCCCATAGGGAGGGGGCTCCCGCCTCAGCTTTCCTCGCAATTCACTCACAGACGAAGCTCCCACCTGATGTTTGCTTCATATTCAGGCCTCAGGGGCCCAAAAGCGACGATAGTTGCAGCAGTCCGATGACCGCTCGCATTGCTCATATGAGCTGCGGGCCCCATGGGGAGGGTCTCCCGCCTCAGCTTTCCTCGCAATTCACTCACAGACAAGGCTCCCGCATGATTCTCCTTCATCTTCAAGCCTGAGGGTCCAAAAGTGATGACAGTTGCAGGAGTCCGATGACCCGCTCGGATTGCTCATACGAGCTGATGGCCCCATAGGGAGGGGGCTCCCGCCTGAGACTTCCTCGCAATTCACTCACAGACGAGGCTCCCGCCTGATACGTGTTCAAAATGAATGTGTGCGCGTGTAAGTGATGATGCTGGTGTGAATGCTGATGAAGATGTAAGTGGTGGTGGTGATACTTGTGATGCGAGTGGTGATGATGATTATGACGATGACGATGTGAGTGATGACGATGATGATAATGATGATAATGATGATGATGATGATGATGATGATGATGATGATGATGAGGATGATGATGATTATGATTATGAGGGTGGTGGTGATGATGGTGTGAGTAGTTGAGTGAATGATGATGGTAATGATGCAGCGGATGATTATGAGGTTGATGGTGTTGTGATGGGGATGGTGTGTGGCTCATTGGGTGAGTGAGTGTGCAAAGGGAGGAGAGCTCATGAAGTCTGTACCGAATCATTAAGTGAGTGAAGCGATGATGATGATGATGATGATGATGATGATGATGATGATGATGATGATGATGATGATGATGATGCTGACGACGATGTGTGTGAGCGAGTGTATGGTAGGTGGTGAGTGAGTATGTGAGTAAAGGAGTGATGATGCTGAGTGGGTGTGTGTGAGCGAGTGAGTGAATGTGTAAGTGGTGATGATGTGGTGGTGGTGATGATGATGATGTGAGTGTGTGCGTGTGTGGGTGAGTGTGTATGTGGTGAGTAAGTAAGTGAGTGAGAAGAGAGGGGGGGGTTCCTGCTCCTGTGTTCCTGCGCGGGGTGTCCAGAGGAAGCAAAAAAACCACTTTGGATGTGAGGAAAAATCGGCGCCTCGATATTTATCGCCAGGACACCCTGGGCCCGAGCCCTTTCCGGGAAAAACTATTTGACTAGTCTGCACGAGGTGATTCCAAGCGCGCTGGTCTCCCAAGCTCTTATCCTGCTCTGATGTTCCCCCTCATGCGAACTGAACAGTTGTATGACACAATATATGTGGTGTAAGTTATGTGGTGCCCGCTAGGTGGTTTAAGCAATGTCGGGGAGGTGTGAACTATGCGGTGCAAGCTTTGTCGTGGAAGCTATGTGGTGCACTCCATGCGGTGCAGACTCTGTGGTGCAAACTGTGCAGTGCTCGCTGTGCGGTGCAAGCCCTGCCGTGCAAGCTGTGTGGTGCAAGCAGTGCAGCACAAGATCCGTGGTGCAAGCTGTGCGGCCGCCCAGCGCACGAGGCGCCCGCGGGCGCCCACGGGCGGGCCCACCCAGCGCACAGGGGTGCCCAGGCGAGGGCCCACCCAGCGCACGGGAGGGCCCACCCAGCGCCCACGGGAGGGCCCACCCAGCGCCCGCGACCGCGGGCGACGCCTCCGCCGACCCACCCAGCGCACAAGGGGCGTCCACGAGGTGCCCACGGGGCGGCCACTGGGCCAGACCTCGGCCCGACCCGCTCGGCGCACGAGGCGCCCAGCGCGCGGGGCGCCCACGGGGCGCCCCACGGGCGGCCACCGGGCGAAGCCTCGGCCGACCCTCCTCCTCCTCCTCATCCTCCTCCTCCCCCTCCTCCGCCTCCGCTTTTTCCTCCTCCTCCTCCTCCTGCTCCTCCTCCTGCTCCTCCTCCTCCTCCTCCTCCTCCTTTCCCCTCCAAGTGGAGAACCGTGTGTTGACCGCTTTTGCTTCTGCCTCTGGATGTCTGCTCGACGGTGCTCGTGCCCGACTGCCCCTCAGAGGCGCATGCCCCCCAGGAGCACACGAGGCGCCAACGGCACCAGAAAAGAACTCGGCCGAGCAAGACATGTAAAACACCCGAGGTTCAAGCACGGATGGCGGTCTCTGATACAGGTTTACTGCTCCCGGGATGCTAGCACTATGGAACATGTGGGCATTGTTGACAGGAAGCGCCGCCAGCGGTGCCTTCTGAACCCCTGTCAGCAGCGTGTAGACGAGCGTTGCGGGAAATGCCATCCCGCTGAGGCCCTGCAGGAAGCCAGCGCAGAATCCCAAAGAAACCGCCGCGGCAACATTCTTCATGTTCGACAAATCCTTAGTTCGGCGGCGCAAATACAGAAACAGGAGGTTATCGAAGCCAACGGGAGAGAAACGCTGGAAGTCGGTAAGGACGTGGGCACGCGAAGATCATGGTGGATGGAACACGTTCAATATGGAAAGACAACCCGAGCGCCAAGTATCGCAGAGGGGGACCAGTATCACGATGCCGACGATCACTGGATATCGACCAACACGATGCGGCGCACTTACTTGGTCACGGTTCACATCCGGACGCAGCGGCGCAAATGTCGAAGATCGCCTTGAACAATCAAGACGCTCAAGCGTCGATAATATGTTGGATCACACCGTTATGGTCAGACATGAACTAAGCGGCCTGAGTAGTCAAATCAACAGAGTAGACTGACAACAAACTGCTAGAACATATCCAGACATCGAGGTGCTTTGCACCGCGAAACGAAATCCCACCAGCCCTTTGGGCGTGAGTGGTTTAGAGAGCCCGCTCTGTCCTCAACCCCCCTTCTTCCCCTTCGGGGAGGGGTTTACCCCTCCCCCTACCCCCTCCCCCTGGACCTGGAGAGGGAGTTCCGCGGGTCGTCAGGGGGTTCTTTTTCGACGTCTGGGAGGGCCAAAAAACGACGACCCTCACGAGGATTCTGGCCCCGAGGGGGGGGGGGGAGTTTGGTGCCTCAGCTCGTCTTTGAAGCAAAAATCATTGATTTTACTACGGTTTTGGCCCCATGTTGGCCTTCTGAAGGGGGCCGCGTTCCCCTTCCTTCATAGCAAAATCATTGATTTTACAAGGTTCTGGGCTCATTTTGATCAAATCAGGGGGAAGCGCTCATTTGCGCTTCTGAGGAGGTCGCAAGAGGCCCCAAGATGGACCCAAGAGGCCCCCAGGAGGCTCCCAAGAGGCCTCCAGGAGGCCCCCAAGAGGCCCCCAAGAGGCCCCAAGAGGCCCCCAAGAGGCCCCCAAGAGGCCCCCCAGAGGCCCCAAGAGGCTCCAAGAGGCCCCCAAGACGCCCCCAAGAGGCCCCCAAGAGGCATCCAAGAGGCCCCCAAGATGCCCCCAAGAGGCCCCCAAGAAGCCCCAAGAGGCTCCCCCGAGGCACCCAAGACGCTCCTGGAAGCCCCTGGGGCCGCCAAGAAGCCCCCAAGACGCCCCAAACGGCCTCCAAGAGGCTCCCAAGAGGCCCGAAGAGGCTCCCCCAAGGCACCCAAGACGCTCCTAGAAACCCCTGGGGCCGCCAAGACGCCCCCAAGACGCCCCAAAAGGGGACGAGGTGCCCGAACGCCTCACGCCACGAGGAGCCCGAACGACTCACACCAGGACGAGGGGCCCGAACGACTCACACCACGAAGAGCCCGAACGACTCACACCAGAAGGAGGGGCCCGAACGACTCACACCAGGACGAGGCGCCCGAACGACTCACACCACGAGGAGCCCGAACGACTCACACCACGACGAGGGCCCCGAACGACTCACACCACGAGGAGCCCGAACGAGTCACACCAGGAGGAGGGGCCCGAACGACTCACACCAGGACGAGGGGCCCGAACAACTCACACCACGAGAAGCCCGAACGACTCACACCAGGACGAAGAGCCCGAACGACTCACACCACGAAGAGCCCGAACGACTCACACCAGGAAGAAGGGCCCGAACGACTCACACCAGGACGAGAAACCCCAAACGACTCAAACCACGAGGAGCGCTTTCTCTCCCTCCTCCTCCGCCTCGTCCTTCTCCCGCTCCCCCCACAAGGAGGATGTACAAGGAGGCGGGAGGAAGGAGGAACAGGGGAGATATGCGGGGCCAAGCGGACACACGCCTGAAAAACACGACTGTCGGCATGCTTCGCGAGAGTTGCTGCTGTGAGATGGGCTGGTGGGGATACGCGAAGCGTAAAGAATTCAAACCGTCTCATCGAAGGAGGGGGAGGGAAAGATGGTGACGGACGAAGAACAGGGAGAGAAGAGAGAGGATGGGGAGCAGCAGCAGGAGAGAGAGAGAGAGAGAGAAAGAGAGAATGGGGATGGGGAGCAGGATCAGGAGTAGGAGCGGTAGCTTTTTCTCAGGCCAGCTATTGGGCCTCGAGGACCCGAAGGAGCGGGAGCTCAAGCTAGACCAGGAGTGGCCTGTGCCAAGCTGCACTGTGATCTGGGTCAAGATAAGGACCAGAGGCAGGAGCAGAAGCAGCACCAGTAGCAACGAGAGCAGGGAGGCGTAACAAGACGAGTGGAAGACTAGCAAGAAGGGCAAGAGCAGCATCAGTCGTTTGCTTTATCTGAGAAGACAGACTAACCCCACCAGCCTGAACGATTGAGACATCCGCCTGGGCGACCTGGACAAGCGAAAGCAAGCGTCTCGCTCGAGACATCCTCAACACAGCCTCATGCTAGACATATGCCTGGACGACCTGAAAGCGTGAAAACGAGCGTATCGCTCAAGACGTCCTCAACAAACTCTCATGCTAGACATCTGCCTGGGCAACCTGGACACGTGAAGCCAAGCGTCTCGCTCGAGACACCCTCAAGACCTGGGCACGTGAAAACAAACTTTTCAAACTTTTTACCTGAGACATCCTCTGAATTCTAGTCCCGAGGAGAGGAACGATCTATAGCACAAAACAAACATTGCGCTCGAGACCTCCTCAACAAATGATGCAAAACAAGCGGTTCGTCCGAGACATTCGCAACAAACAAAAATGTTTACCTTACCATGTGCTTTATAGTTCCGCACATATGTATTATACCTGCTACATCTATATATATATATATATATATACATATATATATATATATATACATAAATGGATAATATCAAAATTTTCTTAAATGAACTAAAAGAATATGCCGGGGACATCCTCAAATGCAAATTCGCCGGCTCACCTCGACCTCGATATTTCTCGCAGATTAATTTCGCCGGTCCACCTCAAGTCGAGGCCGTGGGGAAAACATCTAAAAGAAAACCCTGGGCCTCCGCCCTTTCCAGGAAAGTCTCCAAGAGCTGCGGGCGCATCTGACCAGGGCGCGTGAGAAAAACTCGAAGAAAATTGTCGAACTGGAGCCGTTCTCGTCGCAATTGGGCATTCACCGACCACAGTGCATTGCGAGGATGTCTGGCGAGAGCGCCATTCCTGAGGGCAGAGGCGTCTCTGGCCAAGGCGCCCAGGAGAAAATTGCAGGGAAATATCAAACGGAATCCGTTGTCGTCACAGTTGGACCTGCACCAACTTCTACTGCATTGCGAAGGAGTATTGATCAAGAGAGCCGTCCGCAGCTTTCGTATCTGGCCAGGGCGTCTCGGAAGCAACAATGTATCGAGCGAGAGCCGTTGCCGTCGAAGCTAGGCCTTCAACAACTGGGATTTGGAACCAAGCCCGCGCTCGAGCGGGAGCGTCGCTTTCAAAGAAACTGCGGCTGGAGCGGAGGCGATGGTGCCCAGAAGCACCACGACGACGGGGAGGACGAGGGCAACGAGGGTGACGACGACAGGGCCGACGACGAGGAAGACGACGACGAGGAGGGTGACGACGACTGCAACGGGCGGGCCGGGCGGGCGGGCACGAGCGAGCCGGGCGAACGGATCCAAACGGGCGGGTCGGGCGGTCCCGCTGCGCCCACGAGGCGCCCACGGACGGCCACCAGACCAAACCTCGGCCGGCCCCCCCAACGGTGCCCACGAGGCGCCCACGGGGGGGCACCATTACCAACCTCGAACTTATCCCTATCCCTAAGATTGACACGCCAAAAGGCGATGACGATCCTGGGGATGCGCCCTCAAAAAATAAGGGAATGCCTAAGATTGGCATCGTGTTGAGGAGGTGCCCAGCATAGGGATAGGGATATGTTCCAGGCTGGTAACACCAGGCGAAACCTCGGCTGACCCACCCAACACGAGGCGCCCACGAGACGCCCACGAGGCGCACACGGGCGCCCTCCAACTGGGCACCAGGCGAAACCTCGGCTGACCTATCCGATCCCCCAGGAAGAGAAGCCAATGCCCCCGAGCGCAAGCACTGGTTGGGGAACATGATCAACCCACGAAACTGGAAACGGAATGTAGCAATGTAAGGCATGGCAACGTTTTCAAAGACACCTGGTTGGGCGACGGGCAATGGCAAGGCTGAGTGTATCGATCTTGATGTACCGTGCCGAGGGCTGTGCTGTGCTGCGCCGTGCTGTATTGCGATGTGCCATGCCGCGATCGTGCTCTATAGCATTGTGGACCGAGTCCTCCTTTGCATCCAAGTGCTGGCCGAACTGATCTGGATCTCAAGCTCGAGCTGCCTGAGCACATAGCAGCTGCCCCAGAGCTAATTGACAAGGAGACATGCCAGGGGGACGCGCCGCGGAACGTCCCAAGGGACGCGCCAGGGGACGTGCCAGGGGACGTTCCATGGGGACGCACCGCGGGACGTGCTAAGGGGACGCGCTACGGAACGTGCCAAAAGACGTGCCACGGGACGTGCCAGGGGACGCGCCGCGCGACGTGCCAGGAGGACTCGCCACGGGACGCGCCATGGAACGTGCCAGGGAAAGTGCCAGGCGACGCGGCAGGGAACGTGCCCCACGATCCCTCGTAAACTACGCTGCGTTTACGCTGTGTCCGCGCTCTCAGGGAAACGTTCCCTAGCAAATTACACTGCGTCCGCCCCCCAAGGCCAGGATCCCTCGTAGATTGTGCTGCGTCCGCGCTCCCAGGGACACGATCCACTGTAAATTACGCTGCGTCCGCGCTCTCCGGGCCACGACCCTCTGCAAATTACGCTGCTCGTAAATTACGCTGCGCCCGCGCTCCAGGGCCGCCCGCCCCCTAGAATTACTCTGTGTCCGCGCTCCTAGGGCCACGTTCCCGAGTAAATTACGGTGTGTCCGCCCGCCCCCCCAAGGCCACGATCCCTGGTGAATTACTCTGCGTCCGCGCTCCGGCAACGATCTGTTGTAAAATACGCTGCGCCCGCGCTCCCGAGGCCACGACCCACTGCAAATCATGCTGCGTCCGCGCTCCCTGGGCAACGTTCCCTTGTCA